CTATGCAAAACTCTAGACCGCATCTGCTTTCTTTACCCATTGCATACCTAGTACTATGGCTGGCACATGATAGGTGCTTGGCAAATATTACAAGAAAGGCAGATGAGTGAATAAATGAATGATGAACAAATGAATGAATGAGAACATAGTAAGTGCTTAATAAATGTTAATTATTAGCATGATTGTGAAGTATCTAATTCTTCCATCCCTCCTCTTATAAGGATAAGAAGTATAGTTTTACGGATTTGTTTTTTCCTTTCTTTTTCTTACATCTATGAATAGTAAAACTGTTAGCAAGAGCATGGTCCAATGCAGGCATAACCAGGGACTTCTGAGGAAAGGAAGGGCCTGAGACATCTGTAAACTGGATGATCATCATGGGAAACCATCAAGAGTGGAGTTTGCCACAATCTGCTCTCTGACAACTTTGTGTTGCTTTTTTCTTTTGAGACAGAGTCTAGCTCTGTTGCGGAGGCTGGAGTGCAGTGGCGCCATCATAGCTCACTGCAGCCTCGAACTCTCAGGCACAAGCGATTCTCCTGTTTCCTGAGTAGCTGGGATTACAGGCGCCATCATACCCAGGTAATTTTTGTATTTTTAGTAGGGACGGGGTTTCACCATGTTGCCCAGGCTGGTCTTGAACTCATGACCTCAAATGATCTTCCCTCCTCGGCCTCTGAAAGTGCTGGGATTACAGGCATGAACCACTGCACCTAGCCTGTGCTGCGTTTATATGATCTTTTCCCTCCTTTTTTCCCTTTATCTTGCTCCTTTTTATACACAATAGTGGAAAGAACAGGGGATGCATGAACTCTGCTCTGCAAAGATCCTGGACAAATCGTGTTATCTCCCTGGGCTGCCATTTCATTCTCAAAATGAGGACACAGGCGCCGTCACTCTGTGAGTTCTTGTCCAGTCTATCATACTCTGGTTCTGTGATTTTTTAAAATAGCTTAATGTCAAGGTATACTTGAGTGCCTAAGCTTGCGGTTTCAAAGTGTAGTCTGGGGACCCAGGGAGCTAGCTCCTCAAAGACCATTTCAAGGGGTTCTAGGGTCAAAATTCTTCATAATATGGCAACTTTCACTCTCCCTCTCTTGTAAGTGTAAAGGATCTGAAAAGCTCATTAGTATTCTTTGTGATTCCACACTGTAACCAACCTTTAAGAAATTGCCCCTTGTTGAGTTTTTATGTAGTATACGACGAGGATTTCACAATTAACTGAAAAGGCTATTAAAATACTCCTCCTTATTGCAACTACATATGCAGGTGAAGCCAGATTTTCATAAACTTCAACCGACACAACATATTCCACCATGGTGATGTAGATGGCAATATGGGAACATATCTGTTTTTTCTTAAGCCAGACATTAAACAGATTTGCAAAAATGGAAAGCAGTGACCCTCTTTGCACTGATTTTTTTTGTTTTGTTTTGGAAAATATAGTTATTTTTCAGGAAAATATGTTGCCTATGTTAATGTGAAATTGGTTTATTATGCTGTGTTCAAATGAATATATACATAGTTTTAGAAACTCTCAGTTTTAATTTCTGATATAGTAAATATTGCTAGATATAATTCACATTAAAAAGAAACTCTATGGGGCTGGGTGCAGTGGCTCATGCTTGTAATCTCAGCACTTGGGAAAGCTGAATCGGGAGGATCACTTGAGCCCAGGAGTTCAAGCCCAGTCTAGGCAACATAGTGAGATTCTGTCTCTACAAAAAATAAATTTAAAAAATTAGCTGGGCACAGTGGCACCAGCCTGCAGTCCCAGCTACTTGGGAGGCTGAGATAAGAGGATTACTTGAGCTCAGGAGTTCAAGACTATAGCCAGCCAAGATTGTGACAATGTGCCTCCTACCTGGGTGACACAGCAAGAATCTGAGAGTGAGAGAGAGAGAGAAAGAAGAGAGAGAGAGAGCTTTATGAGAAAGAGAGGAGAAAGAAAGAGCTCTATGAAACACACACACACACACCCCACACACAGGGGGAGAGAAAGTGAGAGAGAGAGAGAGAGAGAGAGAGAGCTCTGTGGGGTCCTTAATTTGTTTACTGTAAAGGGGTCCTGAGATCAAAAAGGTCAAGTTCCATTCGACACTATTCTAAGTTTACCAGAACGACTGGGAGTTTGGTCTTGAAATTTTTTTCAACTAAGCATCTGTTGTGTAACCTCCTTAACTTTTTAGTTCCCCCACTCTTCATGCTGACTTTTTAAAATGAGTGAGGTCACTTTTCTGTTTTCATCGTGTTTTGCCTGAATGTAGGAATCTCACAGCACTCTAAGCCAGTGCTGAGCAGATGGAGATGTGTGAGGTTTAAGCGAATGAGAGTCAAGTTTTCAGAATCTGGAATATATTCTAAAAATATTGATCTCTTAAACTTGTAGCCTGAGCAAACATTTAACCTTAAATAAAGTAAATCAGTAATCTCCCTCCTGTAGTTACCCTCTCATTGAAAAAGACCAGATTATTTTGCAGGCAATTCATTAGTCCCTCTCACAGACAAGGCGAGAAACCAGCCAACTCACTTTATGAGTTTAGTATGGCATGACACTCAGACTGGAGACAATATAGGAAAAGAAAACGACAGGGCAATGTGGGGATTCTTAAATATGTACACATTCTTTGATATACTTCCCTTTGATAATTCCCCTGCCCTTGAGGGTGGGCTGGTTTAGTGATTTGTTTCTAGCAAGTAGAATGTGGCAGAAATGATGATATGTGATGTCTAGACTAGGCCATGAAAGCCTCATGGCTTCTGCCTTCTCTCTCGGGTCACTCTGGGAGAAGCCAACTGCAGTATAAGAGGATGCTAGGCAGCCCTATGGGAGGTCCATGTGGTGAGGAGCTGAGAGCTTCTGCCAACAGCCATCTGAGGATCTTGGAAATGAATTGCCAGCCCCAGTTGGGCCTTCAGATGACTGTATCCCCAGCTGACATCTTGGCAGCAACTTCTTGAGAGACCCTAACCCAGAACCACCCAGATGAGCTGTCCCTGAATTTCCGACCCACAGAAACTGAAATACAAAATGTATGTATTTTAAATCAGCAAAATTGGAGGCTAATTTGTTATGCAGCAGTAGAAAATTAAAATAACCAATATAACTTATGAATATATAGGTGCAAAAATCCTATAGAAAATTCCACAACTCTAATTCAGTGGTGCTAAATTACAAGTAATTCATTATGACCACGAAGGGTTTAACCCAAAAATGAAAGGACAGTTTAGCATTAGAAAAATCTATTAATGCAATGTACCACCTTCACAAAAAGGAGAAAAAATTTTGGCTTTCAACATTCATTCATGATTAAAAACTTTAATAAACTAAGACTAGAAGCTAACTTCCTTAACTAATAAAAATATATCCACAAAAATCCTACCTAAACATTATACTCAATGATAAAACTTTAAAAGCAGCCGTGTTTAAGTTAGCAACTAGATAAATAGACTATCACTCTTTCCATTTGACAATATACCGGATATCTCACCCAAGGTAATAGAGCAAGAAAAGCAAAGAAAGGGCACAAAAACTATAAAAGAAGAGAGCGAGAAGTCCTGATGCGTGAATAGTAACTGTCTACAGAGAAAAATGAAAGAGAATCATGGTCAGTTTTTTGAAGGCTAGTCAAGTGAAGCAGTGGGAATGGAGAAGGAACAAATCAATCTGTAGCTGACTGTGACCAATTAGTTGTAAACATCACGTGGACCAACCAGGAACAAACTATTAGACATTATGAAAGAGCTCAACCAGATTTCTGGCTACAGACTCAAGATACAAAAGTTCATATATCTACAGACTGTAACAACCCAATAAAATATAATCAAACAAGAGGGTAAGGGACCAAGAGAAGCTCTGATGCTTTTTTTTTTTTAACCCTCCCTCCCCGCTTGCTTGCTCTCTCTCTCTCTCTCTTTCTTTCTTTCTTTCTTTCTTGGATCGCATTCTCGTTACCCAGGCTGGAGTGCCGTGGTATGATCATCGCTCACTGTAGCCTCAATGACTTCCTGGGCTCAGGTGATGCTCCCACCTCAGCCTCCCAAGTACCTGGGACTACAGACGTGAGCCCATGTCCAGCTACTATTTTCTATTTTTAGTAGAAATGGGTTTTGCCATATTGCCCAGGCTGATCTTGAACTCCTGGGCTCAAGTGATCGGCCTCCCAGAGTGCTGGGATGACAGGCGTGGGCCACCGTGCCCAGACGCTTGGATGCTTTTCTAGAGGAATAAAGCAAGGAGACTTTCTCACCAATATGAAGACTTACTACAAACAATATTAAAACTTACTATAAAACATATTATTAGTTGTAGTAGCAATGAGGACATTATGGCATTGGTACTGAGATAGACTTAGAGGTCAGTGGATCATAGGAGAGAGTCCCCCTCTCCAGCAGACTCATGCACATGTAGACTTAACATAAAACGAACATGACACTGCAGTTTCGTGGGAGAGGATGGGCAATTCAATAACTGGTGCAGAGATATTTCATTATCCACATGGTAAAAATCAGAACTCAACTCACATCATACACAAAATAAGTCGTGGATTTAAAGATCTAAATATGACAAGTAAAACAATAGGCTGGGTGTGGTGGTTCACGCCTGTAATCCCAGCACTTTGGGAGGCCTAGGCAGGTAGATCACTTGAGATCAGGAGTTCGAAACCAGCCTGACCCACATGGTGAAATCCTGTCTCTACTAAAAATGCAAAAATAAGCCAGGCATGGTGGCACGTGCCTGTAGTCCCAGCTACTCAGGAGGCTGAGGCAGGAGAATCGCTTGAACCTAGGAGGTGGAGGTTGCAGTGAGCTGAGATGGTGTCACCGCACTCCAGCCTGGCAACAGAGCAACACTCCATTTCAAAAAAAGAAAAAGAAAATAAAAGGAAAAAAATCAATAAAATAAATATAATACAGAAAAAAATTGTATAAGTTCAGTGTAGAAGTATACTTCTTAAATAAGACAAAAGAAACACAAACCATGAAGAAAATGATTGTATATTTGACACATGGAAATTGACACTCGTCCATCAAACAATGCCATTTTCAAAAGTGGAAAGAACCACACGCTGATGGAAGATACGTTCAATGCACATAACTGAAAAATGATTCGTATTCAGACTGCAGTGAACTCCTCCACCTCAATAAGAAAAAGACAAACAACATAACAGAAAAACGGGCAAAGGGCTTGAATAGTAATTTCATAGAAGAGGAAAAGTAAATGGCCCATAAACATATGAAAATATGCTCAACCTCATTAGTAATCATGGAAATGCAAATAAAAAGCACCACGCCGTGCCATTTTATACCAACCAGATTGACAAAACTGTTAAAGTCTGACGATAGCAAATGGTGTTGAACTTACAGGGCAACCTCGATAGGCCGGCCATTGACAGTGTAAATTGGAAGAGCCAGTTTCAAAAACAAGTCAGTGTTATCTAATAAGATTGAAGATATATGTATGACACTAATCAGTAATTCTCCTGCTAGCATAAACACTAGAAAGATCTTGCATACGTGCATTGGAAAGCTTTTATAAGAATGTTCATAGCAATAACGTTTCAACAGGAAAAAGTTGAAAACAGCTCAAATTCCATTAGCAGTAAAATGGATAAATATTTGTGGTCGCAGCAACTCAGGAGGCTGAGGCAGGAGGATCGCTTGAGCCCAGGAGTTCAAGGCTGCGGTGAATCCAGATGGGGTCACTGTACTCCAAGCCTGGGCGACAGAATGAGATCCCACCTTGAAAATAAGTAAGTACTGTGTACTATTTGCCTACAATGGAATATAATGCAGCAGTGAAAAGGAATAAGTGACTCCTGGATGAATTTCAGGAACATCATGTTGCATCAAAAATGCAAATAACAGAAGAATCCACACAGCGTAATACTATTTATTCAGTCAGAAAACATTGCAAAACTAAACAAGACTTTGTTTAAAGATACAACCATAAGTGGCAAAATTATAGAGAGAAGCAAGGGGTGATAAACACAAAGTTCAGGATAATTACCTCTGTGGGGAGCGGGGCGTCAGGTGGGTGGAATCCCACGAAAAATTGGGGCGCTGCAACCCAGAGCCTCTTTGTTAGCTGGGTCATGGGCACACAACACTATCGGTTTACCATCTTTCATGATGCCTTCCAGATGGGTATAGACACAGATGGGGAACGTGTATTGGCTAACTGTGAACTGAAGTAAAGTGTTAATCTAATGCAAAATGGTGCACGTGGCCTCCAGACCCTAGATCCAAATGGCCTGGGTAGCGACCTGGTGCTGTGTCTTCTTGAGGAGCTCTCTTAATCCCCCCGTGCCTCCGTTTCTTCACCAATGACTGGATCTGACAACAGTGAATCACAGAGTAATTATAAGCGTTATACATATGACTTAATATTTTGTCAAGTGCTTAAAACACTGCCTGGTACCAGGAAAGCACTATGTATATGTTTGTTAAACAAAGGGTGAGGCTTGTGAAGGATTCTGGGGAAGTGGAGGGGAGCACTGAATTTTCAAGGAATCCAGGAGCAAAACCTCAAAGGCCTGGCCCTGCACTTCCAGCGTGGGGACAGCTTTTGTGGCCCTGTTTCAAAGCCTGAGGGGAGACAAGATATTCTATGGCAGAGAACTTGGGAAGCCCTTGGGACAGTCTGTTGATGAAGGGAGGGACAAATGTCACTCCGATACACAGTCCATGACATGCCTGTCCTTAGCTCCTTGCCATGGGGGGAGCTGCTGCCGGGAGTGAGTTTGGGGGTCTCAAGCACATCGTCAGCCGGCTCCCTGAAACCAAGCTGCGTGAGTAACCAGCTCAGCTCCCTTTCACCGGGGAGTTGGTTTGCCCCTGAGCATGCCTGGCCTTTTCCTCCACTTCATGTATCCGAGGGAGAAGAGCCTTAGGTTGCCAGGGTGGGGGGTGGGGGAAGCTGGTTCGGGGGTTAAATTCTGAAGTCACCTGGTTCCCAGAGAGACCGTGCTGGTCCATCTCAGGCCTGCGGGACCGGAGAGGCACCATGTTGCCACCGGAAGCACGGCACAGGGAATGAGCAGGATCTGACGCTTGGAATTAAACTCACTACTTACAGGGCGTTTCCTACTTCAGGGGACACTCTGTGTTCGTAGGCTGGTGTTTTCAGAATCTGGGAATTCCAAAGAGAAAAATATTGTTCCTCCTCTTCCCTGGATGATGAAACGGCTTCTTGCTTTCATTACTCCTGCTGGTGACAACCACAGTTCGTTCCAGAAGCTGTTACTGAGCCCTTGCTATGTTCGGAGTCTATTTCGGCCTCATTCTTGCCTGTGAGTAGGGTGCACGCCATGCTGCCACCTCATGAGCCTGGCCCAGTGTGTGTAGCAAGTGAGACCATCTGTCCTGCACTTTCAGACAGCAGTGAGGTTGTCTGAAGTCATGTCTAACGTGACCTGCTTCTTTTATATTTTTTAGCTTCCTGGCTCTCCCCCGCCCCACACACAAAAAAAAACAAACATTGTTTTGAGTCCAAGAGCTTCAAAGGCTCCTGCTTAGGGACTGCGCTGTGGTGGCCTTGGCGGTTCCTTCTAGTCCACATGTGGCCCAGAACGCCCTTAGGCACTATTCCCCGGGAGATGGCCCAGCCCCAGTGGGGTGTGCTCCAGTCAATGTGGAAAACAGAGGGCTCATGAAGCCGATCTCGGTGGCATCTTTCTACAGCAGCAGTGCTCTCATGACAGTTTGGTGCTGCCGGAAAGCTCTAAAGCCAGATGGCAGCCTTTTCAGGGGACCTGGACCAGCAGGAGGCCAAGCATCACATGAGGAGGGCTAGAGAGACCCTTCTCAGGGAGGAGTGCCCACCCTAGAGAGGAAACCATGGAGAGAGCCAGCCCCCACCTAATGGCACCATCCCCAGGCCCCTAGCCCGGCAGCTCAGCTCCTCGGGGTCACCTGTTCCCTCTGCCAGACACCAACTGCCATTCCAGGGCGAGGTGTTCTCACTGATAAAGCCACACTGGGCAGGTGAAACCTCATCCCATTGTTGGACGGGCAGATGTTGCAAAGAACGGCTTCCTAGACCAGGCCTGCAGGAGCTTGGCCTGGAATGGCAGCCTGGCTCGCAGGCAGCCCCGACCTTCTGGCAGCCGTGGGACGGCCTGGGCCCCCCGCCCTCCTGGCCGCTGTTTGTCATGACTCACCTCTGGTTTCCAGGAACGTTATTTTTGGCCCCGGTGTTATTAAGATTGTGCCCAGATTCCCTGCAAATCGGCCACTAACCAGCATGGACCCTAGTGAAAGGACGCGGAAAACAGAGGGCCCAGGGCTGCGGGGCAGCGCGCTCCGCTCCTGGAGGCTCCCGGCCTTGGAGGGCTCCAGCCTCCCCAGGGGCCCAGCACCGAGGACTCTTGGGCCCCACACCGCAGCCCCGACGGGGTGTGCGCCCTGGCCCAGCTCTCCCCGGCTGCTCCCGAACCCGGGGCACCCAGGGGTCCGCGCAGGCCGAGGCCTGGGGAGCAGGGCCGCCTGGGGTTGGGGGAGGAGGTGCTCGTGTAATCTGCTGTCCCCAGGCGGGCGCCGCCCGTCCGCCCGCGCGTGCTGGGACCGCCCGCCCGATTGCGCGCCTCTGGGGCCGATAAGGCCTTCGGGGGCCTGGCCCGCACATCCCAGGCCCGGCAGAGGCTGCGGTGCGTCCGGCAGCCCCAGCTGCTCCTCCTCAAGCCCCGACGGCCCCTCGGCAAGCCCCTGCTGAGGGACCAGCATGCCCTGGCCGGTGGGCTTCTGCAAAGTGAGTACTGGGCGGCTGCTTGGGAGGCGGGGCGGAGGGTGCGGGGAGTTGACAGGGCCGGGGGCGAGTTGTCGGGAGCGGGTACCCAGGCCGCGCCTGTGGGCAGTACGCGGGCCCGGGCAGCTTTGCACCGCCCCCCACAGGCTCCCTGCATTAGCATAGATGCACGTCGGCCCTGTAGCTGAAGGGAGCAGGTGGCCTCTGCCCTACAATCTGAAGGCGGTTCATATTTTTTACATCCAGAGATTTGCTGTCAAATTGTGTTCCAACTACCTGGGTCTCTGAATTATATCCTGTCAGCAACAGCGCCGGGGAGGGATGGTTTTTGGGTTATACTCCAAATCTATGGAGATCCCAGAAGCTTTCCTTTGAGTCTGCTAAACTGCGTTTCGTAGGTGTGTCCTTATAGGCTGCGGGGCGGGCTGCCCGGCTAGGGGCTGTCACCGTCATTTGGAAGGGGACTTTGGCTTGTTTTCTCCAAGACCGGAGGCCGGTGATCCTGTGGTCACACCTGCTCGGTGTTTTGGATTTATGCTGTTAACTCGTGGAGGGAAAGGCGGCTAGGAAGGAAGGGAAAGCGCCACAGCGTGGCCTTGGGAGATAGGGTCTCGTGGATGGTTTTCAAGTGATAATGGCGCCTTAGCGAGGCCGCTCCAGCCTTCTCGTTCTTGCTGTGTAGATAGGGCCTGTCCTATCTCTGCCTGGCAGCGCGGCCGGCCTGCGCCGTGTCTCAGTGTCCTGTGCTGCTTCTTAGTTTGGTGATGGGTTCAGAGCCCAGAGTGGGACGTCAGGCCACACGCTGAGAGGATAGTAAGTGAAAGGGACTCTGGTTTACTAGCCGGCAGAGCACCTCTTCTGCTTGTCTAAAAGTCTCTGGGCGCAGGGGAAGCAATATTAAGCAGGAAATTCTTTCTAGTGGCATCTGCACAGTTTGCCTTTCTTGGTTGATTTTTTTTTCCCCTAAAGAGAGGGAGGCTCTCTGTAGAGGAAGCATGGGCTTCCCACTATAGTCCCACCAGCCTCAGGCACTGCAGTTTAAGTTTGCTGAGGCCGCTCTAGGGCAGAGGTTCAGAGTGAGGCTTGGAGACCTGCTTGCAGCCAACCTCAGAAGGAGGCGGGTGACTGCAGGTGTCCTGTGCAATGTGTGAACTATCTTCAGACTCAAACGCAAGTGTTTTGCAGGAATGAGGAGTGGCCGATGGAAAAATTAAAATTAGTCTCCTTTCACCAACCAAGTAACAGCCTTGAGCCACTTTTCTCTGTGTGTCAGTTTTCTTGTCTGGGAAGTGGGTCTGCTGTGAGGCTGAAGTGAGGAACTCGGTTATGAAAACATTAGCAAAGGGGACAGAGGCTTTAAAGCGGTTACTGTAACCAGGACCCATAGACTCAGCTCACCCTTGACTCGATGGGTCAATTATAATGAGTTTCTTCTCTGTTATTGATGTATAATAATTTACATCTTCGTGGGATACATGTGAGTGTTTCACGCATAGGATGTGTACTGACCAAGACAGGGTGTTTGGGTGTCCATGGCCTTGGATGTTTATTATTTTGATGTGTTGGCATCATTTCAAGTCCTCTCTTCTGGTCACTTTGAAATGTGCATGGTATTGCTGCTATTGTAGTAGAGTCACCATATTCTATCAAACAACGGAGTTTATTTCTTCTATCTAACTATATGTTTGTACTCATAACCAACCTCTCTTCATTCCCCTTGCCCCCCACCCACCCTTCCTCCTCTCTGGTATCTATTGTTCTATTCTCTTGGCCCAAGAAATCAACTTTTTTTTAGCTCCCATGCATGACTGAGAACATTCAGTATTTGTCTTTCTGTGCCTGGCTTATTTCACTTAACATAATGACCTCAAATTCCATCCATGTTGCTACAAATGACATGATTTCATTCTTTTTCATGGCTCAATGGAATTCTGTTAGGCAACTGTAATTAGTTTATTTATTTATTTTTTGAGACAGAGTCTCGCTCTGTTGCCCCGGCTGGAGTGCAGTGGTGCTATCTTGGCTCATTGCAACCTGTGACTCCCATGTTCAAGCAATCCTCTTGGCTCAGCCCCCTGAGAAGCTGGGACTACAGATGCGCACCACCATGCCTGGCTAATTTTCATATTTTTAGTAGAGACGGGGTTTTGCCATGTTGGCCAGGCTGGTCTCGAACTCCTGACTTCAGGTGATCCACCCATTTTGGCCTCCCAAGGTACTGGGAATATAGGTGTGAGCCACCACGCCCGGCCCATGACAGTTTTTAAACCCAGATTGCCACCTCTCACCCCAAAATGGTTCTGCTAGTGTCTCTGCAAAACCAGCTAACTTATTTTGAGATTAATCAAACTGAAATATATTTAGAAAAGCAGGGTTTCAGTTGTTGCTGTTTGCAGACAAACAGAGAAAATAGAGCGTTTTGTAAGGGTAAAGTGACTAAAAACCTTTGTCCTCAAGGTCTGTTTAACAACCTTTAACAAACATTTGTGAAGCACCTGTTGTGTATCAGGTCCTGTTGGGGCACTGGGAATACAGCAGTGAATAAAACTGACAAAAACTCTCCTGGCAGGGGAAGGAAACAGACTAAACACAAAGGAGTCAAGTACATTCTGTAGAAAGGTGAAAAGTCAGTCCTGTTATTGAGGGAGAGGGAAGCAGGCAAGGAAAACAGGATGTGTGGGGAGTTACACAATTGAAACAGGGTGCTCTGAGACAGCCTCAGTGAAGTCCCATTGGACAAAGAGGTGAAGGAGACAGCCAGGCCCAACTCCATAGGAAACGGCACGTGCAAAGGTCCTGGGGCAGGCGTGTGTCATGGGAATAACTGGGAGCAGCATGGCTGCAGCAGAGTGAGGCGGGAGGAGCAGGAGGAGGTGAGGTTGGAGAGACTGGGAAGGGGGCACAGGAGCAGAAAATGCAGGGCTTTGTACTTTGATGCAGGGATTTTACTTTTGCCTCAAGTGAGATGGGAAGCATTAGACAGTTTTGGTATGAGACAAATGGCACCATTTGACTTCTACCTATACCTGTGACTTCCTAATGCGTTTGGAACCAGGGATTCATGTTTTGTAGGGATACCAAATTAAACCACCTGATATAGTGTGGCAAATGGCATTATCATGCAATTCTAGTGCAGCTGTTCTCAACTTGCTTCCCTCTGGGATACATGGGTCTAGTGGGTGATGTAATTCTGCGTGACATATTTCATGGCCATATCTGGGTATTAGTAATCCCCCTCTCTCTTGCACTTTCCTATTTAATGAGAAAATAGTGCCGTAGATGTTCCTTACTTAAACATTTACCACTGGTAATATTTAAAAGGAGATGGGAAGATGGGAGCCTCTGTAAACGCACAATTCCTATGTGATTTGTAATCACAGCTGCAGAAGATCCTTCATGGGCTTCTTGGGACCTTGGTATGGATAAAGCAGAGCAAGGTTCTAGAGCATGAGCTGTCAAGAAAGCACGGGTGCAGGCGTGCAAGAGCAGCGCTGTGGTAGAGGGGCTCCTTGAACGTGCTCTAACTTTCAAAAAGTAGCGGTGGTCTTCCTACAGGTTATCTCACTCCCTCTAATCCATTCTTCACACACAACCAAGGTGCATGTTAGAAAGGCAAATCTTACCACTTCACTTTCTTGCTTTAAATCTTCAGCAACTTCACCGTGTTCTTAGAACAGAGTCTAGACTCCCTGAGATGCCTCCTGTCCTGATCCCGCACTGTTTTGTTTTATTTGTTTGTTTGAGAAAGGGTCTCCCTGTGTCCCAGGCTGGTGTGCAGTAGCGTGAGCATAGCTCATTGCAGCCTCCAACTCCTGGGCTCAAGTGATCCTCCCTCCTCAGCCTCCAGATTAGCTGGGACTACAGGTGTGTGCACCTCCACGTTCAGCTAATTTTTGTATTTTTTTTGTAGAGACAGGGTTCTCGCTATGTTGCCCAGGCTAGTCTCAAACTCCTGGCCTCAAGTGATCTTCCCTTTTTGGCTTCCCAAATCACGAGGGTTACAGGCATGAGCCACCTCGCCTGGCCCCACTGCTTCTTATTCAGCACTCCCACGGTAATTGCTCCGGGATACTGTCAGTTCCTTGGACAGGCTGCACTTGGAAATTTTTATATGATATTCAGAAACTCCACATGGGTGGGACTCAGGCTGGTCTCGTTCACTGCTGTGTCCTTGGCACTTAGCACAGTGCCTGCCACATGGTAGATGCCCATTAAATGTTGGTTGCATTCATGAATGAACAGTAAGTTATTTGCAGAGCACCTCATGGTTGATGACTGCTTAGCAGTTTGCTCATAAACCTGTGATTGAAAATTATTGCTCTAGAGGTTTGCGTGGATGACTTTTCAGATACTCTGCTCTTGGGATTTTTAAAAATTCATAAAATAGTTTCTCCTTCCTGTGAACTCTCATTGCACTTTATCAGAACCTCCCTCAGGGCTCTCCTCATTTTCCACACCTCCCCGCTTATTTATATATATGTCATCTCTCCTCCACGCTGCAGGCGGGCGGGAGGGCAGCAGCTCCGTCTGACTCATCTTTGACTCACTTCCTTTTATTTTCCCTGGCTTCGACCAAGGTCTTGAACCCAGAGCTGAAAAATAGATTTGTTAAATGAATTAATTGGAAGTCCATGAATGAGTCTGAGCTCCTGATTCTCCTTTGCTTGCCCAGATCGTGAGCATTGGCTGTTAGGAAAATGTTGGCCAATTGATTTCGGGAAGGTTTGGAAAATAGATTTGCAAGCTGGCCCGTGCTAGATAGGTGGTCACAGCCTG